TACTTTATGTCTGACAAATCCGAAGCTCTAAAGAAATTCAAGGAGTTTCGGATGGAAGTTAAGAAACAATTAGGTGAGAGTATCAAGGCCCTTTGATCTAATCGAGGTGGCGAGTATCTATCCCAAGAGTTTAAAGTCTATTTATCGGATAATGGGATATTATCCCAATTGAGTGCACCAAGAACTCCCCAATAGAATGGTATCTCGGAAAGAAGAAATCAAACTCTTTTAGATATGGTAAGATCAATGATGAGTTATTCCTCATTACCTATATCCTTTTGGGGATATGCACTACAAACAGCCATTTATATCTTGAATTTGGTACCATTTAAGTCAGTTCCCAAGACACCTCTTGAATTGTGGAATGGGCGCAAGCCCAATTTACACCACATTCGGATATGGGGATGTCCAGCACATGTGCTAAAGGGAAAGACGGATAAGATGGAATCAAGATCAGATGTTTGTTTCTTTGTAGGATATCCAAAGGGAACTAGAGGTTACTATTTCTATAATCCTCTTGATAAGAAGGTATTTGTTAGCACAAATACAACCTTCTTAGAGGATAAGTATATAGAAGAACACAAGTCTACTACTAAGATTCTATTGGAAGAGATGTTAGAACATGGTTCAAACAACTCAGTTCCAAATTTCCGCATAGAATCTAATAGTGATGACTTGGAACCTCCTACTGAACCAATGGTTGCCGATGAAGCAAGTGAGCAAGTGATGCCCATAGGGCAGAGGTAGTAGAAAATGAGGCACCTATTGTTGTATCTCCACATGTCCCTTCAAATGAGGATAATGAAGATGTTGTTCCTAACCAAGGACGGGATCAAACAGTGGGAAGAGAGGAAGTACCTTTGGTCAGACTGGACAATCAGGCACCTTCAACCATTACTCGTAGTGCGAGGGTTGTGAGACCACCTTCTAGGTACTTGCTCTATGGAAAATCCTATCAGGCGATCTCTACTGAGCAAGAAGAAGATCCCACTTCGTTTAAGGAAGCAATAGAGGATATAGACTTTGAATCATGGAAATTAGCCATAAACTCAGAAATGGAATTTATGTATTCCAACAAGGTTTGGGATCTTGTAAATGCACCTAATGGGGTAAAGCCTATAAGATACAAGTGGGTCTATAAAAGGAAAAGAGGTATAGATGGAAAGGTTGAAACTTTCAAAGCATGGCTAGTGGCCAAGGGTTTTACCCAAAGAGAAGGAATCGACTATGAAGAAACCTTCTTACCGGTTGTTATGCTTAAATCTATTCGAGTCCTTTTATCCATTGCTGCTCATTATGATTATGAGGTTGGGCAAATGAATGTCAAGACAGCATTTTTAAATGGACGTCTTGAGAAGACCATTTAGATGATGCAGCCTGAAGAGTTTGTGAAAGAAGGTCATGAAAGTAAAGTTTGCAAGTTGCAGAGGTCCATTTATGGACTCAAGCAAGCGTCCAGATCTTGGATTGTAAGATTTGATCAAACCATCAAGACCTATGGTTTTGAGCAAAATCTAGATGAACCTTGTGTGTACAAACGAATACAAGGGAAGAAAGTAGTTTTTCTGATTCTTTATGTAGATGACATTCTACTCATTGGAAATGATGTAAGGACATTGTCATCTATAAAAAAGTGGTTGTCACAGCAGTTTGATATGAAGGACTTAGGAGAAGCTAGTTATGTTTTGGGAATCCGTATCTTGCGAGATAGGAAAAACAGAAGGATTGCATTATCCCAAACTTTATATATTGACAAAATATTGTCCAGATTTGCAATGCAGAATTCCAAAAAGGGACTTCCTTTTAGACATGGAATTCATCTATCTAAAGAGCACTGTCCAAGAATGCAACGGGAATAAATTACATGAGAAAGGTTCCTTATGCTTCGGCTGTGGGAAGTGTCATGTATACTATGCTTTGCACTAGACCGAATATTTGTTATGCTATGGGTATTGTTAGTCGTTATCACTCTAATCCAAGACCAGAACATTGGGTAGCGATAAAGCATATACTCAAGTATCTTCGGAGACGAGAGATTATATGCTTGTCTACTCAAGACATGATCTAAATCCTATTGGGTATACTGATTCCGATTTTCAATCCGATCGTGACTCTAGGAAGTCTACATCGGGATCAGTATTTACACTGGGAGGTGGAGCTGTTGTATGGAGGAATTTCAAGCAATCTTGTATTGCTGATTCCACCATGGAGGCAGAATATGTAACGGCTTGTGAAGTTGCTAAAGAAGCTGTATGGTTCAAGAAATTTCTTTTGGACCTTGACGTGGTACATTTGGCAATGGGGCCCATAATGCTTTATTGCGATAATAGTGGGGCGGTTGCCAATGTTAAAGAACCGAGAAGTCATCAGCATGGCAAGCACATCGAGAGAAAATATCACCTTGTTAGCGAAATTGTTCATCGAGGAGATGTGACGGTTAGTAAGATTGTATCAGCAGATAATCTTGCAGATCCGTTCACTAAGACCTTACCAGCTAAGGCTTTTGATGGACATCTTAAGGGAATGGATATTCTTGATATGCCACACATACTCTAAGAAGGGCAAGTGGGAGATTGTTAGTTTGATGTCCATTCTTCGAGTAATGTTCTGTAAAATCACATTATGAATTTACATTCATTTATTTGCGTGTTATAATTCGAAGTGATTGTCTAAGGTTCCATGATCATATAGGATGTCACAAATTGTATACTCGATGGATCGAGTATAGTAAGACACAATTTGTGATATGATCAAAATTATGTTGTTCACAATCAGTTCATAAAGTTGGACGCTTTATGTTGATAAGATCGTATTGTTCTTATTAAGATTTGTCTAGATCTTGAAATAGGAACAATAATGTGTTTCGATATACATTGAACAGGACCGCGTATATGACTCATTTGTCATCGGTTGAAATGAGACTCTAATTGATAATCAAACAGGTCACCTAAATCCTGAGTGAGTAATGTACCTT